CGGGGGGGGCGCCCCCCCCCCCCCCCCCCCCCCCCACTTGAAGTGGTTTCCATCAGGTCCAGGGTCACAGCCGCGTTCAGTGGCTCTCAGCACCCCCACTGCGGACACAGCTCCGATGCCACTGGCACCGATATCAACTGGGCCCCGGTTTTGGCTTCTCAGCAGCAGCCCAGGGTTATTCCTAACGCTGGCACCTTCCAAATGCTTAGCAAGCATCAATTCATCATTGGCTGAACACCGAGCCAGGCTCAGAGGCGGGTCCTGCCGCTCAATCAGCACGCTGCGGGATTCAAACGGGAGGCAAGTTTCATTCCAGGGTGCACCCGGATGCCCCGGCCTGCCCCTCCCTGCCTGGCGGACCACCAGCGAAAGCTGGCTGCCCACACGTGCCTCGTCGGTGGTGTGCACCCGGGCTTAGCTAGTCCGCGCTCGCTGGCTGGGGGCAGCGCCATTGCAAGGCCATCGCAAGAGCGGGCTGCCGGCGGGTGAATTCAGGACAGTTCAGCGGGTGGGAGGGGGGAAGAGAGCGTGTGTATGTGTGCGGGGGGGTGAGTTCCTGAGCAGAGACGAGCAGGGCTCTCCTAACAACCCTCACATGCGCTAAAAGCAGGTGCCGCTCCGTCGCGCTCCACGCCCACAGAGGCCCTGCAAGAAGCAGCGGGCTCCACCCGACGCGAGGGGGGTTAGGTCAGACGCTGGGGCAAACAGCCGAGGGGAGGCTGCAGAAACCCCGCAGCGGGGGGCCTAGCTTTGCGGGTCCTGCCTCAGTGCGAGGGCTGGAGGAGATGCGCTCCTGGGCCCCTCCCGGTCATAATCCCTACGAGTCTAGGGGACTTGGGAAACGCTCCCGCAGCACAAGGCAGGAGGCAGCCGTTGGAAGGCACTGGGGGCAGCTGGCCGGGAATCCGGCCCTGCTGTTCCTCCGGAGGGCTGCCTGGGATCAGGACAGACGGGAGGGGGAGCTTTGGGATTCTCTTTCCCGCCCAGCCCCCGGCCTGACTCGTGCAGGGCTCATTAGCCAGGGTCTCCACACTGCCGCGGGGCTCTCCTCGGACTAGCCACGAATGACCAATTAACCCATTAGCCCAGCGCCGGATTCTTGGGGTTTTGCTCAGAAAACACCTGGGCTGTGTCTAGACTGGCCAGTTTTTCCAGAAAATCAGCCACTTTTCCGGAAAAACTTGCCAGCTGTCTACACTGGCCGCTTGAATTTCCACAAAAGCACTGACGATCTCCTGTAAAATTGTCAGTGTTCTTGCGCAAATACGATGCTGCTCCCGTTCGGGCAAAACTTTTGTGCAAAAGGGCCCGTGTAGACAGCCCAGATTTGTTTTCCGCAAAAAAGCCCCGATCATGAAAACGGCGATCGGGGGTTTTTTGCGGAAAAGCGCATCTAGATTGGCCACGGACGCTTTTCCCCAAAAAGTGCTTTTGCAGAAAAGCGTCCGTGCTAATCTAGACGCTCTTTTCCGCAAATGCTTTTAACGGAAAACTTTTCGGTTAAAAGCATTTCCGGAAAATCACGCCAGTCTAGACACAGCCCTGGACATCAGCCACAGCAGAGTGGGGAGATGGTTTTCATGGCTTCCCTTGGAAGTTGGAGACCCATCCTCTCTTCGGAGAAATCGTCTAGGCCCTTACTATTCTCTGGCCTCCTTGCTTCTCGTGGGCGTGCGAGAGAGAGAAAATGTCCAGCGTTGTGTGTCTCCCTGTGACCAGGAACTCAGGGTCGTTTCCTACCGGCTTCTCCAGACAACACACGACCATGCTCAGCTTCAGCCTCTCCTCCCTAACCTCCCTCAATACACCCACGTTCAGCCTCTGCCCTGCCGCCGCAGTCTGCCAGCGATCCCTCGCAGAAGGGAGAATTGGATGGACCTTGGTTTTCACAGCACCCTGGCTGGCCCAGGCTAGAAAGACACGTGGCCGTTATTAATTCCCTGGGTGGGCAGCGTTATTCAATCCATCGCAAACCAATCCCAGCAAAGCCACGTCGCGCTGGGCGGTCCAAAGGGCTTGGGGAAACGAATGCCAGGTAGCTAGACCCAGAATTCCATGTGTGGAATAAACTGTACGTGCAGATGTGCACCACCAGTAGAAACACACGCTGCCAACGCGGGGTGCTCTGCTAAGCAGCTGGGTGGAACCCGCCTCTCCCCTGGACAGCGGGATGCATGTGTGGGGTGGGGGAGTGCATGGGATGGCAGGTGGGGCTGGGGGACGCACGGGACGGGCACATGGAGAGCAGCAGCTGAGCTCTGCTAGAGCCTGGAACCGGGTCAGGAATATTCCTGGTCCCAGAGGCCCATACAACCCGCTGCCTCTGGCCTCGGAGGCATTAGATCCGGCCCCATGGATCTGTGTGTGTCCAGCTTCTCTAAACAGTCCTTACCCTGGTCTTTCAGCACTGAGGGCTGCCCGCCTCTGCCCCATGCTGCCCAGTGCAGCAGGCTGGGACTGGCCTCGCCTCCGAAGACAGAGGCAAAAAAGCTTTGAGTACGTCAGCTTTTCCCACCTCACCTGTCAGCCGCTCGCCTCCCTCACCCAGCAAGGGCCCCACCCTCCCTGACCCCTCTTATTGCTGACATGCCTGTAGCCACCCGTCTTGCCCCCCCCCTGCATCCCGCACGAGCTGCAACTGCGCTTTGGCCTCCCTGAGTAACCCCTGCGTGCGCGAGCGGCGTTTTTTCCCCCCCCCCCGGCATCCGTTCAGGCTCCACTGCTTGTGAGCTTCCTTTCCTCCCGCCACATTGGCTATTCCTTCTGCACGGCGGGACGGCTCGGTTCTGTGCCCGCCCACAGCCGGCCCCACGGCCGCCTTCCCCGCCGCTTAGCCTCTCAAGGGATCCCGAGGGAGGCCGTGGGCTGGCCTGCACTGCAGGGTCCATACCCTGCTGCTCTCCTTTCGCCAGGGCCCGCTCATCGCCCAGGTAGCCACCTACTCCCTCTTCCCTTCCGACTTCCCCGGTGCGGGAGCAGCAGGTCCTAGTGGGTCCCTCCAGCACTTGCACCAGGAAATCGTCCTCATCCCTCTCCGAAAGCTTCCTGGATGGTCTGTGCTGCTGCGGTGCTCTGCCAGCAGATGCCAGTCCCCCATGAGAAGCAGGGCCGGGGATCTGGAAACCTCACTTAGTTGTCCAAAGAAATCCTCGTCTCCCTCATCCTGGTCCAGGGCCCAAATGACATCAGCCGGGTTAGCCTGGATGCGAGAAACCAGGAGCCCCGTGGCGCCCTGGAGACTAGCAGACGTGCTAGGGCAGCAGCTTTCGTCATCGGCCTGGCTGCTCTCGCCGCTACCCTTAACCCAGCGACTCTCCGCAGGCTCATCTCAGTTTCTACAGGAGCTCTGGGCAATCCCCCGGCTCGTACCCACACGGCAACTCCTCCGCCCCTGCCCCGAACGCGGTCTTCCCTTCCCCTCCCCCACAGCCCCCCAGCCACGGGAGCCACCCCCACCTCGGCTGTTCCAGTCACCTCACGGTTTCTCGACCTTGCCAGGACTTCCCATTCTTCCTGCTTGTTCCCAGGCTTCTGTGTTTGTGGGCGGGCACCTATGAGAATGAGCCGACTGCCCTGCTCTCTCAGTAGGGATCCGGCAGCGTCCCCATCGCACCTTCCCCTTCTGTCCCCTCCTGGTACCCCAGCGACCTCAGGGATTAGGCCACCATCCCCCACGAGCCTGCGTTAAAGCCTCCCAGTAGGTCTGCAAGCTCTTCCCTCTCTGGGAGGTGGCTCCCAGGGCTCCCTACCAATCCTTGTGCCAAGGAACCCAGAGCCCTCTCTCTGACATCACCCGCACAACCACGCACGGCCTCCATCACCCGCGCAACCACGCACGGCCTCCATCACCCGCGCAACCACGCACGGCCTCCATCACCGCCGGGCCCGCCTTCTGCCACAGGGAGGGGGAAGAGAACACGGCTTGCGCCTCAAACTCCTTTACCCTTCCTTCCCAGAGTCCCGGCGGCAGCGGCGACCTGCTCAGGGCCATTCTTGGCCGTGCCCGTGTGGAGAAGCAGGACGGGGCAGCGGTCTGATGGCTTGATCAGTCTTAGCAGAGCTCCGGCATTTCCCGAATTCTTGCTCCTGGCAAGCAGCGCTTCTCGAGGTTCCCAGTCTGGGCGGCAGATGGATGGCTCCGTCCCCCGTCGGAGGGGGCCCCCGACTCCTCCCTTGGGAGTGGTGGTCATGGAGTCCCCAGTCCTAGGACAATACACCTCCTGTCGTTTGTTCAGAGGGGTCTTCTTCCGACCCCTGCCCTCAGGCAACCCTTCCAGTCCAAACAACGAGAAGGAGTTTGAGGCACAACCTGTGGCACCTCAGACTGACTAAGATGTGTTGGAGCATGAGCTTTCGTGGGCAAAGACCCACTTCGTCAGACGCATGGAGTGGAAATTCCAGAGGCAGGTATAAATATACAGGCATGTGAAAAGAACCAATCAAGAGGAAGGCCAGAGATAACGAGGTCAGTTCAGTCAGGGAGGATGAGGCCCACTTCCTGCAGCTGATGTGGAGGTGTGAACACCAAGAGAGGAGAAACTGCCTTTGTAGTTGGCCAGCCATTCACGGTCTTTGTTCAATCCTAAATTGCTCTTTTCTCTCTGTTGGTTTTCGCTTTCCCATCTCTCTGGCCCATTCCTGTCTGCATGTCCCATTTGGTATTTTCTCTTGGCTCCTGTTCTGCGCAGCTTCAAGGGGCCAGCTGGGAAACCCGGGCTCAACAAGTCAAACGGACAAGATCCCGTGGGTTCGAATCCAGGCAAGCGAAGCTGGCTGCCCCGGGCAGCAGGGTAAAAAGCGACGCTGCGAGACCAGGTAGAGGGTGGGGAAAGACAATTTCATTCCGGTGGCTCAGCTTTTGCACCGTCCCCCAGCACTTGACCCCAGCTGATGTAGCCCGTTCTCTCGGCTAAGGAGATGGTGCAGTGTCCACCCCCGTTCACACGTCAGGGCATGAGCTGAGCCGAGCCGAGCGCCGGGCAGCAGTGACCTAGATAGGATCCTACTTTTGATAGACAGGCCCTTCTTAAAAGGGCTGTTTTGCAGGCCTCGCAAATCCCTCCCCGGGGCTTGCAGAAGTTCCAAATCAGAGCCCAGAGTATCACCCGCCACAGGCAGCGCTCGCTGAGCGCGAGTCGATCAGCACGTGGGGCGGATATTGCCGGGACCCATCAGCTGCTCTCACAGCCTGGAGCGCGGCCGATGGGTCGTCATACGCCTGGCCTGGTGGGAGCCCCGGGGGGGGGGGGTTCCCATCACAGAACCTCCCGTCAGCCTGCTGCGGATCGGAGCCGACTGCTGGAGGCGGCAGGGAGCTGCCAAGGGGCGAATGGTGCCAGTGACGATGTTTCCCGTAATGGGGCTACTGCGCTGAATGCAAATCAGCTGATTACTCCCCTGCCGGCTAGTCCCCACGCGGTGCAAGGCAGACAGGGACGTGGTCTGCAGAGAAGCAGGCTCCCGGGCCCACGGCCATCCTTGGAAAAGCGATCCAAGTGCCTCTAGCTTCCCCAGGGAAATGGGCGCCCGCTCGGCGGGGGGGCAGAGCCACGGGCCTGCGCAGTCCAGCCTCCGCCCGCCCCCTCGCAAGGCCCG